GATTTTTGACATTCACTTTTCGACAAAGCATTGTTACTTAAGATTAACTTTCTAAATTAAAAAATTGATTATAACACGATTCAGCTCTGATTGTGCTTTTATTTTATTGTGTTTGGTTTTTGTTTATCATTATAAGTTATACTAGGATTAGCAATGATGGGATTTATTATGAAGTAACTATATATAATAAATTAATTTTGTATATAATTTCTTTCTCTTAGCATATTTATGTAATTTATCATTGGTTTATTAATTGCACATAAGTCAAACTTTAAATTCTACTAGTTCCATTAATATCCTTCGATTATCGGCCTTGAAAACTCCACCTAATACTGTAAAAAAAAGACCAATATAGGGTTTACTTCTAAAATAGATCATATAAAAATTGATTGTTACACAAAGTCTATTTGTCAAAAAAGTACCTAATATTTAAAAAGAAAGGAAGGATTCGTTGAAAATTAAAATCATAATCCTTTCAACAAGATAAGATGCAATTAACTGGTGCGCGAAGCTTAATTGCAATGCAATTTGGAATCAACCAATTCAAAAGCCTAACCTGTACGGAGCAGATTGGTCAGATCTCATCTTTCAAATTGGTTCCAACAAAATGGTACCAGACAGAACGAGCATAAAAAAACTTAGTTTATTGAAACGTGGGTGATTTGCATTGCGTTTTAAATTTTGAATCGGAGCAGAGAAATTGTATCAGAATAAATCCCAAAGGAACATTGAAAGCTGCAAGGTAATAATCATGCGATCCTCGTTCTAACCATTTTTGAAATTCATATATTAAACGTCATAGAAAGACTCATTGTGAAAAATGGGGTGATATATGGGATTCGAGAATTCATTGGGCGGAATTCGTAAGGAAAAGACGAAACGTTACTTTATTTTGTGTAAGGAATCTCATTTCAGATTAATCTCGCATGTCGACATCTTGATTTTATAAACCATACACACTTTCCCTGCTTTCATATTGTATATCCATTAATGGGGCTAAGACCAGAGTAGAAAGATTTGCAAAGAAAAATGAACTTGTGCTACTTTACAAACGTTAAAATTTTTATTTGATGACACGTTCGTTGTTGCAAAGTCTTTTTTTTAAATTATCAGTTGTTGATATCTTTGTTCCTTTCCCTTTCAAAAAAAATAAAACCCTTCTCATTTGCATCGACTACCTGATTGTATAGTAATTATTATATGGCACTAAAGGTTCTTGCGGTTTTTCATTATGTCCTGAGAATTGCTTGAATCTACCATCCTGATTTAGCCATGCTAAAAATCTGATTGTTTTTCACCTGTCCCTAGTACGAATTAGAGCAGTGGGGTGCCGCGGTCAAAGCATACGATGAAAACGACTACGAGTTGGCGCTAGAAACATTCACCGAGATAAATGTGAATGTCTTTTTTATTTTCAACAGTGTTTCTGAGATGGATCTAGTTAATCCTGTTATTTACCTGACACCTCAACATTTTTTCAATTAAAATAGAAAGTATCGCCGTCTGCTAAATTTTATTTTAACATAGGCCTCATTTATGCAACTCTTGGTGAGCACGATGAAGCAGTGGGTATCGAAGTTCTAGTCATGTAACAGTACCTTCCGACTGACTCGTGTGGGACTAATCAACTTTTCTTTTCGAAAAAAGTGCCGAGCATTTAAGAAATCAGTAACGTTAGATCAATATTTTGCAATGGCTTATTTCCAAAAGGGTGTATCACACTTTCTTATGGAAGAATTTGAAAAGGCATTGGCGAATTTCAATGATGCGCTGTTGGTAATTATTGCTCATACAAGATCTCGATATGAATAAAATCGCCTCTAACTTTGATCATTTTCTAAAAACTCTTGTAGTACCTCAGGGGAAATCTACTCATTGATTATGAACAACTTGGTCTTAAATTCCGTTTGTATTCATGCGAGGTCTTGTTTAATCGTGGCCTTTGTTATTT